CTAGCAGCACATATGGAAGAATATGGTCAACATATGAGGGATAATAGTCAAAGCAATCAACACTTAATGAGAGGGCAATTTGTACTAAAAAATACATTAGGATGAAATTGTGCTAAAAAATAGTTTAGGATATGGGGTGCACTTGGAGGGAAACATTGAGGACATTTTTTCACCTTAACCTCAAGTTCTATAATGTTTTAGCTGATCCCCAAATGTAATCTATTTTTGAGTGTCTTATCGTTTTCTACAATTTTCAAAAGGAGAATTAAAATTATTTCATCGAAATGTTAAAAAAAATATGGTACCTGAAATATTCTTGAGACAAATAATTTATCTCATACTCCCTCCGTATTTTCAACAAATCAACCTCTCAATAAATTATTTAAATATTTTTAAAATTATATATTTTCACCTTTGCTTCTATTTAATAGACTATTTTAATTAAAAATTTTATTAATTATAGTCTTAATTAAGAATTTTTTTTAAAATCTCATTAATTATATCTTAAGACACCTAAAATAATTTATATTTTTTAGCATTTTATTGCAAAATAAAATATCTTATATTTTGTATTGAGAAAATATAATGGTATAGTAAATTTGATAGTTCTTCTGCTTTATTTTATGAAATTAATTATATAGATTTTGTAATACTAATTTCTTCAAAATGAATATAAAATTTTTTTAAAATACCATTCATTTAATGAGAGAGATAAATTTATATATTTAAAGAGTGAAATAATGAGTGATAATTTTAAAATAAATTATTATTTTCCCCAAAATTTTATATTATAGAATATCAAATATTTTAAAAAAATATCTTATAAAAGAAGGCGAAGGAAGTAATAAGAGAAAGAGAATATAATTGCTATATGCAAGGAATTTAGTATGATGAAAATTTTCTATATGCAACTATGAAATGTTCTTTTGTCTTAGTATTAAATTCCTTGTTTTTGAAATATGGTGAATATCTATCTAAAATTTTAAAATTCATGCGAATGTTTTCTTAATATTAATTTACCTAATGCTTTCCCTAATGTAATATAAATATAGAATAGGAAGATAGGAGTTTTATCTGCACACAGGATGTAAACTTTTTTAGAATTACGTGCCCACAACCAGTGTTATCAGAACCGGACCAGACTGACTGGTCCAACTAGTTCAACCGGGAACCGATCCTAAGTCTGGTCCGGTCATCACAAAAAACTAGAAATTTCAAGAATCGATCAAGCATTGGCATAACTAGCCACAAACCGGTAAAACCGGCTAAAATCGGGCAAGAACCGATTGAACCGGTTATATTATTTTTAAATTTTTTATTTTTAATTCATATTTTAAAATTATAATTTATATATATTTATACCTAATAAGAATTATGAAATAAAAAAATGTATGAAATATGTATAAATTATGTATATGTGTATATATTTTAAAGTTATAAATTATGAATTATGAAACACTTGTATATGTTTTGGATGAAAATAATATAATATTGATGGATGTTATATTTTTTATTGTATATTATTTTGTTTGAAATTTAAACATTTATTTTTGTTACTATATATGATTATTTCTTTCTATTTTAAATATATAATATTTAAAATATATTAATTTATTTATAACCGGTTGGATCACGGTTCAAACTGCGGTCCGACCATTGAACTATGAACCAGTACCTCGACCGGTTTAATGGCCAATCCGGTTTTCATAACATTGCCCGCAACAAAATATTTCTTCCGTCCTATATATTATATAAGATATTTTTAAAAATGATTTAGCAACTGAGAAGGAAAAATATTTAAGGAGAAAATAAATATAAGATAATTTTAAAATAATTTTAAGGAACATCAAATCACTTCAAAAATAAATTTTATAAAATTGAGGAAGTAACTAATTAAGAAATGAATAACAAAAGTTATCATAAGTTGGCGCATACTTTTTATTTATAAGAGTATAAAACTACATTTAAATTAAAGATGACCAAGTTATATAATGTGCAACTTATCACAAACAATCTAAATTTTTTATTTTACACAGATGCCTTGTTTTTTTTTTTTTAAAATGCATAATAGGTGTGACACGTGGCTTGTGGACGAGTCATTTATTGACATATTTCGGATTTGCATGCTGAAATAATAAAATACCCCGTGGGTCCGCGAAGTAACAGCTGTTGGTGAATTCAAAAAGAAAAAAAAATTAAAAGCTGAAGAGGCGTGTTAAGGTTTAAGAATACACCTATCTCCCGAGGTCGCAAATTAAAATATATTAAAATAAATAAAACTATTATTAATTAAGACAGATATTTACTTAATTTGCGGAAAATTTCATTAAACCCTGACCAAACTTATTCATCTCTAAAATTCTGGAAACATCATTTTAGTCCCCGTGGGTTCCATTTGGACTAATTTAAAATTAAATTTTTGAGAGAAATGGCACAAATAAATTCAATTCCTTCAAATATAAATAATTAATGTATTGAAAATGAATAATCAGTAGAGGTGAAATTTGTAATTTTCATTAATAACATAACATTATTATGGATATAAACAAATAAAATTATGCAGATGAACAATTTGTGCTAGATGAAAATAGAGAATTGAGGTTATTTGCGTCATTTCACTTAAAAGCTTAATTTTAATTTAACCCAAATAAAGCTCACAGGAATTCAACTGCTATTTTAGAATTTTAGGAGATGACTAAAAAAATAAATTTGATCAGGGAATTTAATAAAATTTTCCCTTTAATTTGCGCCGGAAGCATAATGCCCAATTACATGTAAGAAAGATGGCCTTATTTTCATTTTGGGAACGCGCTGGTTAATAAAGGGCTAAGTCCCGAAAGCGTCCATATTGTCAGTTAAGAACGTACGTGTTCGACTCAATGTATCTTCTCATTTTTGCTGTTCAAGCTGTTCCTCAATAATACTGCTTTATAGTATAAACGATACAATATGTTGGCCAAAAAGAAAAAAAAAAACACACGATACAATATAGTCTATTTCTTAAATCAACCACGCGCCACACGATATGTTCAAGACTGCGTGGTTGAGCGTGAGGGGTCAATACGTACGTGATCCTCAGGTGAATGAGCCTCCCTTAGTTTTTTTATGTATATATTTTGATTTGAAGGATCGTACGTGGTCATTGTGGAAAGTGGAAACATTGCTTTTTATTGGTACCGTTTTGGACAAATAAAATTTAATTCAGAACGCAGGGAAGAATGGAAGCGGTGTTGACTTTTGTGGGAGCCATGAATATCATTTGGTCAATGAAAGATATATGAACATCCGATTAACGGTGTGTTTGAATTTCAATTAAAAAAATTAATTATTAAAATGTGATGATGTTTAGATAAAATTTTAAAAATTGATGCTGACAAATTAAAGGTGTTTGGATGATTTCTTAATAATTAATTTTAAATGTAATATAAAGAAAAAGAGTTAAATGGAGTTTTGTAAATGAAGGAAATTTCAACTTCTCCAAAATAAAATTCTATAAGCCAAATGAAATTTTACAAAATGAGAGTGTTTGGATAAGTTTTTGCAAAACCATGATTTTGATCCCAAAATTAATTCCTAACAAGTATCCAAACATGCCCTAAAAATCTAACGTTACTGTATCTAAACAAATGATCCTAATAATTTTCCAAGCAGGTACATACAAGATAATTACGAGACAGTGATATTGATTCCTTAATTATATATATATATATATATATATACATAAACATATACCGTTTGCCTATAATTCAATTACAAGGTATTAATCAAATATTGTTGCACAAATATTCTCCGTTATTTTATGTTCCTTAAGACAATTTGACCGTCGGTTTCGAATAGGAAAAATAATAAGAAAATGTAAAAATTAGGAAAGAAAAGTTAAAAAAAAAAATCACGCCTCTCTAACATATAAATTATAAAGCTTTTCGTTACTCTTTTCCCTCTTTAAACTAGGAAGAAAACAAGAGTATAAAATATCATAGTTCTCTCGTTCATGTTTTATTCTCATTCCAAACAAAGTTTGGAGGTCAATTTTATTTAAGTCGTGGGAAATTATAAATATATAATATCATTTTAAATCACCCACCTTGGGGAAAAAAGGAGATAGCTTCTGCAAGCTAGTTTCCTATGACTCTAATTATTGTATCCATTTGCACTAGTCATGTAGTCCATGCTGACGAAGATGATTTATTTGATTCAACTTGCAGTAAACATATTCAAAATTAATTAGGAATACCATTGTATTTTGCAGAGTCATAACGACTCGATATTAATATCACGAGGACATGAAATAAAGTTTTGATATCTCCCTCGAAACTTTTTTAAGGGTGAATGCCAAATAAGAATTGCGTTTTGAAGGGACGTAATTATCTAATTTTCATCAAAACGATTATCAATCAATCAATTGCATAAATTGTTTACCTGAAATATTTCATAAAATTCCTTATTGATTAAACTTGAGATTTATAAAATAGATTTAGGCAAAAGTGCACATTTAGTTCTCTAATTTCTATGAAGTTTCAATCTAATCTATTAATCTTATAAAGTATATATCTCTAATACTCTAATCCTAACATTATTAGTCTTAAATGATAAATTTTTTGTATCAATTATTATTATTTAAACATTAATTTTTAATAATATTTTGGTAATATTTAAAAATTTAATACTGGTATTCTTAATGAAACTAATAATTTTAAAATTAAAAAACTAAAAATACATGTTATAGAATCAAGTGATTAAATTAAAATCTCATATAACGTTAGAAAATATTGGGGGGGGGGGGATACGAAAGAGTGGGAAACAGATAGTGAGCTAAGGGATGATCCAATAGGAGCGAAAGCCGCCTGCTAGAAATCTACGTGTAAGTTTTGCATGAAAATGCCAAGAGTAATAGCTGAAGAAAGAGAGGAAGACTTTTTGGTCATTTCACCCGATAGTCTAAGAAGAAGGCTTAAGTTTAAACGAGGAAGGAACGAAGGTGTGGCTTTCAATTCTCCCCATGCTAACTTCAACTCTCGAAATTGGTTTTTCTAAATAAACAAAACACAGTTTCTCCTGTCTGCTCTTCCCTTCTTTGTTATTTTCTGGAGAGAGATAAACTCAGAGTTGAACTGCGCACACCTTCAGAACCGCTTTATCTGAAATATATATATATATATATATCCTCATGACCAGTTTGCAGAAAGTCATCTCTTCCTTCTTATATCCATGAGAGAGAAAGCGGGAGAGGTCTGTAAAAGACAAACACGGAATTTAATTTCTTCTGTTTCTTCGCTTTCAATTGCGTCCTCTCCTTATTTCCCTCTTATCATCATTCTCCAGCTCCAGCTACAAGATTACATGTAACCGACTTTCTCTCCGTACTTGGACAAATCTTCCAAAGTATATATATTGATTCTAAATGGAAAAGAGAAGGCGGTTTCGGCGTTAGTGGGGTTTTGGAGAGCTTGCGCTGGAGGACGACAAGAAGAAGATCAAGACACAGAGAACGTAGGGTATAGGTCGCTTTCTCCACTCCCATGTCTTCGAGTATCAACCAGAAAACTACTCAACATGAACCACTTCTACCCCCTCCACATCGTCGACATCACCATCAGCAACCACAAAAACATCACACGCAAGATCAGCATGTTTCTTTTGGAATGACGCAATCTTCTTCTCCGTCGACGTTTTCTGTCCCCGGAAACTTCCCGTGAGTTATTCAAGTAGCTCTGCACACGATACTTTCTGAACAACTTTTAGGAACTTGCCCGGTTCATGTTTAAAAAGTTTTATTCTTGTTACTATTTATTTATTATGTGTGTGCGCGTCACCAGGAGCAAGGATTCTGGAGCTTATGATCTGCTGGAAGAGTTGGATCAAGCCCTTTTTCTCTATCTCGATGGACAACAAGACCCATCCAGCGTTCAACACCCAAGACGTGAGCTTTCTCCTTCTCTCGCACTCGCATCAACATTTATTACAGCAATAACCTCTCTCGACTCTACTCCCTCAATTTAAAAAATTAAGGAATATGTTCTCTCTCTTGCTTTCCGATCGTTTCGGTTTGGGTGATGGGTTCTCTGAGGGATGGGTTATTTGGGTCACGGCAAAAGCGTGTTCTGCAGATTCTTATCGGTTTCTTAATTAGTACTTTCTTTAACCCGATCCCAGAAAGCAGAAAAGAAATGGAGGGCACATTTTCAATTTAAAAAAAAAAAAAAGGACGAAGAAGGAGAGGGCGGGGGAACCGCCTATCTCTCTCTCAATTTGTTATTTTATTGATTTTGTTGCTTAGAGGAATGAGACCACGACATGTAACAAACCGGGTGTCATGATTTCCTTGCAAAACTCCATATGTACTGAGAGTATGGGTACCTCTGCGCATTTACTTTCCCTTTGGATGGTTCACGCAAAGAGCTACACAAACCATGCTTGAAGATTCTCTTGCCCTCCTCTAACTTTTGGGCCGAACCGCTATCATTTGCATCCCTTGAAAACTAGACCCATCTTTCGATTCTCCGCTCTCTCTCTCTCTCTCTCAGTGATTGGAGGTGGGTTCATATACATAATTGATGTTGGTGAATTTTGTGCATGTTTGCGTCTCAGCAGAGAACTCATTATCGTCAGAAATGAAGCCTCCGACTCTCAACATGTTCCCATCCCAACCCATGCATACACACACGCCCGCAACCAAGGTATAATCAAATCATGCCACTCTCATTTTATATTATATATTATTCTTCATCAGTTCGATTAAGTGATACTTGATGGCCTTGTTCGGTTACCAGGCTAGCATGGAACTTGTTCCTCCTCAAATAGCCAGTGGTCCCAAAGGACCATCTGAGCCATCAATGGATTTGGCCAGCCCGAGAAACGAAGCCGCCTCGGCCCCTGAACCACCCAAAACGGCCAAGGTATAAACACCATATGCATACATTCGATTTGTACAATAAACCTAACTACCTCTTATGACATGGCTAAAAGATGGTTGAACAAGTGTGGAACTCTTAATATGCTTATCTGAAACCTGAGTTTCTGAGCTGAATCAATTAAGGCACATATATTTGTCATGTTCTCTAATGAAAGTCACTCACTGACCTGTGAATATGTGGTGCACACTGCTGCAATAACAGCGAGAGAGCAATCGCAAGGGTCCACCGCCAAGTTCTGAACAGGAAGCACTCAAGACCCCAGATCCTAAGGTCACTCTCACTCTTCGCTTTCTTCTTCCCTTCCATGACCGCCCACCTTCTTTTTCAACTCCCGTCTTCTTTTTTCTCTTCTTTATTTGATTTTAAAATAAAATGTCATGCGTACTCGCAGACACTCAGAAGACTTGCTCAGAATAGAGAGGCAGCTAGGAAAAGCAGGCTTAGGAAAAAGGTGGCTAATTTCATCTTATAATTGTGTGGGTTCATGCATTTCAGGAACGACTTTTCATAGCTCTCTTATTTATTATCTATTTATTTGTTGTCTCAGGCATATGTTCAGCAGCTAGAGTCAAGTAGAATTAGGCTTAATCAGCTGGAGCAAGAGCTACATCGTGCTAGAGCTCAAGTAAGAAAAAAATTAACAGTGCATATCTCAATTTGTTTATTCCTATATTGATGCTCTAAAATGGACATCACATTCCCAGGGCTGCATTTAAATAAATCATCGCTTGCACTCAATTATACGACAAAACTTACAAGCGCTCAATTCGTGTTCTGCTTCAGGGAGTACTCTTCGCGGGAGCGACAGCTTTGAGGGGAGAGCAAAGCCTTCCAATGGCTATGAGCAGCGTTAGCTCAGGTCTTGACGAGAGTAAAACAGCCTAGATGTTCACGCGTACTTTTAACCAGCAAGATTTTCATATATATGTCTGTATATCAATTTCAGAAGCTGCAATGTTCGACGTAGAATATGCGAGATGGCTAGAAGAGCACCATCGAATAGTGTGCGAGCTAAGAGCCGCAGTTCAAGAGCACCTTCCAGAGAACGAGCTTCGGCTGTTTGTAGATAATTGCCTGGCACATTATGACCAATTAATGAATCTCAAGAGCTTAGTGACCAAAACAGACGTATTCCACATTGTATCTGGCATGTGGAAGACCCCAGCCGAACGGTGCTTCATGTGGATCGGTGGGTTCAGGCCATCGGAGCTCATTAAGGTACAACTCCGATCAACTCGACCTCAACAATGTGCCATCTTTATCCCCCCACCCAACACCGTCACTGTGGCAACCACACATGACAAAGACAACCTAGATTAAGATGGAGTCATATGTCAAGAACCTTGTTTTATCCTATTTTTAAATTTCATGGATGGATTGGGTGGTCTTAGATTACTTGCATGCGTCACGGAGGAGTAATTGAGGTGTACGTATAGTATAGATAGTATGTAGGTATAATTGTAAGGGCCGAGTTTTGTTGGTGGGCCGTGTACATAAACAACTATGAAAAAGTCCGAGGGTAATGATATAATGAATGTCATCAATATTAATGAATGACGAAAGGTATCACGAAGGGTTTCCGCTAATGGGCAGAGTTAGGCTCCATTCCCATAAAGCCATGTCTTGTGCTCCAAATAATTTGGCTGGAGCCCAGGGTTGAGAAAGTAAATTAAGGGAAGAGACTGGCACGGGTCTATATGTCTCTCGTTGTCTTATCTCTCTCTGCTATTGATGGGAATAAAGTTCATCAAGCCCCTATATACACCCATCTCTAGCTTTGTACTCTAGTTAATCAATAAAACGAGGTCCCCTTGAGGCTTGAGCTAACATCCTAAGTCCTAACTATATATGCACACGTACAAACAAGAGCCTATTTTTCTTGGTCACTCTATGTAAACGTATGTAACTTGTTTTGGATGAAGACGTCTTTATTTTATGTGCGTTACGTTTCAGATTATTGTGAGTCAAATTGAACCCCTGACGGAGCAGCAAATACTGGGTATATATGGGTTGCAACAATCTACGCAAGAGGCAGAAGATGCACTCTCCCATGGGCTTGAGGCTCTCAATCAATCTCTCTCAGACACTATAACATCTGACTCATTGAGCTGTCCGCCAAATATGGCTAACTACATGGGACAGATGGCCATGGCCATAAATAAGCTCTCTACTTTAGAGGATTTCGTGAGACAGGTACGTTAGACGATTCATTTTGACTGTATGTTTCTTGTATGCTATATAAAGATCATGAATAAGGCAAGTATTTTGAATTCGGTGGTAGTGATTTGTGGCCGCGTGATCTGGTTTAGTTTGTGGTCCCCCAAGACTGTTCCCATATTTGATCCCGTGTGAGTAGTTAGGTAGCTAGGACCAAGAATCTCTGTTCCTCTTTGGGCAGCTAAGGAGGCGACTAACCTACCCAACCCCATTAACAATTCCTTCCATGCATGTCTCAGTCCTTGTGGAATCTACAAAATATGCCTCTCCATCTTTAATAAGGGGAAATGCTATATTTCTGGAAAAGAAAATATTTGTTCGTTATGAGTCAGTTTCTCAGATGCATGCACCTTAACAATGATAACCATATCACATAAAGCCATCCTATGAGTTTGCCTGAACAAAGTGAAAATTTTCATAATCAGATCTGTTTGGGCAGAACCCTAAGGGATGTATATTTATTAAGCTGATTGTATTGAAAATTTTTGGAAACACGATTAATAATAGTTAGTCATATAAAAAAAAAAAACTGAACTTCAGAAGCCTTTAATCTCAAATTACAGAGATTACCAATACTAGCGGTGATGAAAATAAAGGGGTGAGAAATCATGTACTCGTGACTCTAGGAGATCCAAGTGGTCCCTCACTGGTATGACTTTCATCCAGAGAGATCCCTTGTGCCCCATGTGTGATGATGTCACGGTCGTAACCAACCCTTGAGGAGGTTGAGGACACCACATTTTGTTCCTTCTCCATACATAACTCCACTTTTGACCTTGTCTTGAACCACACGAACACTTATGGCCGAGAGAAAAATACCAAACAAACAAAAAGAACCGAACCGAGCAACCACTCACATGCTAAGCGGAACTTTAAAATATATATATTATGCCGTCTAAATATCAACTCACCTACTCCTCCTAACGAATGAGAACACATTAAATTCTGATGAAGAAATATCCTGAATTGGTCATATCAGGTATATATATCCTCTCATATGTAAAACCCATCTAATGTAGCGACACAAAGTAAAGGAGAGGAAAAGCTGAAGTTAGACTAGGATTGAGTACAGGAGTAAAATTTCTCTAAAACTCTTTGCGCAGCTCATTGTAATTAGGTTGGTTCACCAACATTGGCTTATTTCCTTGGGTCAATCACTGATTTCACAAGCCACTGAAGAATAAGAGCTTATATATGTTCTAAGTAACCATCAAATCAACAAGAGACAGGAAATTGGAATTATCAGGTAGACTGGATTGATCATAATGATTACTAGTTTTAACACATAAGTAAGCAAGCATAGTTCAGTCCTGATTTCACCAATTTAATCTGAAGTATTTATGGTTCTATCGTAATATGTACTGGATACGTAATTCGTGGTGTGATAACTAATTGTCATTGCCCTTAGGATTCAGAATAGTAGAAAAAGTAGTGTCTTCATTTTGAATGAAATCTTCTCTTTGACAAATGTTCATGCCTGTGAATTGTTATATATATATATGTATGTATGTATGTATGTATGTTTGTAACCAGCTGGTTTATAGTTTTTTGTCTGGGGTTCCATGTTTCCAATGAAATTATGTCATCATTAAATAACCCGAGCACTGACTATGGAAACATCATAATCAACGAGCCATCATGACTCATGAGTAGATAAAGAGGTTGCAAGTCCTATTCTTTGTTTCAAAATGTTGGACCTGGAAGCCTATGTTTTGTTATTACTTTGATAGCCCCTCCTACCCCCTCAAATTGGTCCAGGTTCGTTTGCTTGTAAAGTAGGGCACATGATATGATGCCGTGTGCAATTATAAAATCCAATTTCTAACGGAAGCCGCATAGAAATATTGAGTTGACATTGTTGAGTTTGATGACATTTGTTATATTAATTAGTTCTTTTATTTATTTATTTATTTATTTATTTGAAAAATGAAAACTGACAGGCAGATAATCTGAGGCAGCAGACCATTCACCGGGTGCATGAGATACTGACGACGCGTCAGGCGGCGAGGTGCATGCTGGCGATGGCCGAGTACTTCCATCGTCTAAGAGCTCTCAGTTCTCTGTGGATGGGACGACCTCTCCAAGAATAAAAGGATAACCTTTTCAGCGTCCTCCACAGCTTATATATCTAATCTCCTTAGTTAGCCTTTAATCTCCTTGACTTTACTTTCTCTCTTCTAATATATTAATTAATATTATAAAATTGATGTGAATCTATTTCTCTACTTCAGCCGTCTATCGCCCACCGTCCCTGGTCCCTCCCTCCCTTCTTTCTCCCCCCGCTACGCTCTATATAATATAGACTGCGCCACGTTAAGAATTGAATTTTATTTCTGTGTCTCTGACTTTGAAAGTTGGAACTGGGAGAGGAAAGAGAGCAAGCTAGCAAATTGAATAGAATACCTTTGTTTCTAACCGTTGAGTGTAACACATTTACTTTCGACCCGCTAGCCTCCTTGCTGCCACGCGTGCTAATACTATACATTAACGTTTTCTCAATATATACTTACGTTTGAAGTCTATGGGCGTAATTTAATATTATCAGTAACTAATACAAGTCAATATATATTTATGTAACGAAAATATATATTTTAAAAAAAGCAACATAGATAGTAAAATTTACACGTCACGTTACTTTTCTTAATGCTTGAACCTGTTAGCCGTGTAAAAAACTTATAAAAATGTAAATATAGCTGAATCATCAAATTTTGTATTAAAAAGGTCCTCTGTACATGAAGATGCAAAGGGAATACTTTTATCGTTCTATTCACGCCTTTTAATTTTTTTGTCAACAAAGCAGTTAATTTAAAATGTTTGAGGATCGAATGCTTGAGTTTCAAAGAGACCTGAAAACAGGGGGGAAAAAACAGGCAGAGAGAGACCTAAAAACAGAATAGAGCATAAAAGCTCGAACCAAAGGAATAGGCTACATCAGGGCTTAAAACTTTATAACTAAGCCCAATACCAAATCTCATCAGCGGGCGAAAATGGAATACCGCGCATTTCAGTATGTCACGGACCGTGAATGAATAGGCAGTCTGCGCTTTATTTTCCATGCTTAAAGAGTCCAAAACTCTAAAAAACCCAAAAAGGGAAACAATTTTTATAAAGGATGCGATATGTTAGGTAGGCTTTAGGCGGGCCTGGGATGTTGCTGCGTCGGTCCGTGAGGGTTTGGTTCTGGTTCTGAACTCCTGAAATTGAAAGTGGCACGGTGCAGAGGTGAACACGCGGAGGAGTATGCAAGGAGGAAATGGGAGCCTCATCGACTGGGATTTATTTTTGAAAGCGAAAAAAAAAAAAACAGAGAAAATTTTAATCTAACATCCAACATTCAAATTTATACTGTTATACGTGGTGTTTGGATCTAAAAAAAAAAAGGTGTGAAGCCCAAAATCACAAAGAAGAAGAATAAATTAAAAGGAGTGAACTCACGGAGGAGCATGCAATGAGGAAATGGGAGCCTCATTGGCCAGGATTTATTTTTGAAAGCGAAAAAAAAAAACAGATAAAATTTTAATCTGACATCCACACCATTCAAATTTACACTGTTGTGTGTGGTGTTTGGACCGAAATCACAAAGGAGGATAAATTAAATGGCAGGCTCAATATTCAAACAAAACATGATCCGTTCCTAGATAAAGTTTCATACTAAGCACGTATTTAAAAGTATAACCCTTAAAATTCAAAATGACTGAATATGAGATGGTTATCTGACATGCCATGAATGTTGAGGGGTTGCACTTGGTGATTACGGATATCTTGCACACGGGCTCTATATTCTGATGACTCTTTGCATTTTCATATATTTTGAAAAGTTTTATTAAATAATTGAAGAGTCATCTAGTTATTTTTAATCAATTGTCTTATGTTTGGTGTTTATTTTGTATGTTAGTTAACTTGTCTTATCAATACTGTGTTTTTTTAGAGTAATTTTTTTAATTTAAATCATTTTAATTTTAGGAAACTCTACAAAAGCTTAGAATAGATGGAGGAAAAAATACATAATAATTTTAATGAAAAAATTAAATTTTGATGACCACCCACTACGGCAACTACTACAATGGGTCAGCATTATAACACAAATTTTAAACTAGAAACAAAACCCATAGTGGGCATTGCAATGAATTTTTCACTAGAAATGCATAGCGTCAATTTTTCAAATAAAAAATAGAGAACCTAGCAAATATTTCTTTCTTTTTTTCTCCTTTTTTCATTGAAAAGTGAAATAGAGAACCTAGCAAAGATTACATCAAAACAAAATTAAGAGAAGACTTTCTTTTATCATCCATCACGTCAATACAATAAAATGGAAGATGATAGAAAAAAGTTTAAACACCTAAGTGATCCTGGACATTGCTAGCTAAAAAGTGGGTACAAAAATTTGCCTCCCTTGGACATAAAACTAGTATCAACAGATCACTCTCTACACAATTCAACATATTAATCTCATTAATAATATCATGAAAAGGATGTTGAAAACTGATGCTATAGTGAATGAGGTTGAGGGTCTCTTCATAGCCAGTAAACACTTTGACTCCATGCTACTCCCATTCCTAACAAAGATGAAGATAAAAAAAAATACCAAGTAGTTCTATAAGAACCACAAGGTAAGTACCAAAAGCAAGTATTGAATCCTCCAACCTAGTCTGCAGAGTTGTCTCACATCCTTGCATCTTCCTATGCCATCATGAATAGACCCATTCACATCTAATCTTATTTCTCCATAATTAGGTATGAACCAAGTCTCAAGTCTTGTTTTATCTCGTTTGCTCATAGCGTTGGACACATAAAAGATTGGCGTTTGACTTGCTTTTTGCAAGGTAGCAGAGCCTGACCGCATCATATCCAAGTCATCCTGATCAAAGGATTTATTATATCTATCACACCAAATATCCCAACATACACACCAAAAAAATGTGTCATACCAAGTCATTATTTCTGGCTACACCCAAACAAAGAAAAAAAACTACTCTCACACCTCTAATATCCCTAGTCTCAACTCTCAACTTGCCCACCTGAAAGACGTCGATAAACTTGATGATAATTTCATAATAACTCTTGACGTAACTAAATGGGCACTGTAGCATAACAAGATCACTTTTTATGCTTCAAATGTTTTCAACCATTAATGATTTAAAAAGAGTTTTATTGCTATTTGGATACTTAACATTGAATGAAAAATTTTGATTTCATTTTACAGCAAGAAAAACATTTAAAAAATGGATTTACATTTTAAAAATCAGGATTTTTTTTTTAAATTGTTGGCAGGTTGGCCCACCAATCCACATTTGGCAGGCTCAAGTTGAGAAAATACTAGCTTGCCAAGAAGCAGGTCTTGCCAACTCGTGCCCTGAGGCAGGCCAGCCCGCAACATGTTGGTTAGCCTAGTTTACCAGTTCTTGGATCTAGCAGTCTTCTGAATGACTAATTGCTAATTTCCTGGTCCAGGCAAATTAGAATAAAACCGATGGCTCCTCACGTCAACAGAACCAATTTTGGATTCTCTGCCAGTGGATTTTTATGTCTAAAGAACTGGAAGTTTAATACATCGTAGAAATAGGGGGAAATTATTTTGTAATTTTTTATTATGTTCAAATTAAATTTTAACAATTTCAATTTGTTCTTCATTAGTTAATATTAAAATAATAATTTTATGACATATTAAGTCTCAACCATTAAATTGAAATCTAAAGACAGGGAAGATTCTCAAAGGGAGGGAAATAATGAAGGAAAATCCTTGTCTTACTTTGACGGTCTACACTCTTTTGTAACGTGATCAATTTACGATTCAATTTTTTTCCCCCCCCAAAAAAAAAAAAAAAAGCGATAGGGGAGACATGAGGAGAGTAAGAGGAGGGATTAGCCGAAGGAGGAACAGCTAACTCCTAAAAAAGACAATGACAAATAAACCTCATGAATCTTCTAAATTACCTGTAAATCCAAAGGGACCTTAGTGCTTGTGAGTCATTTCTCTCCAATTATAATAATTTGGATGGTAAGGTTTGAAATGCGTTTTGATAATTGAATTAAATTATAAAAAAGATACATAGTACTTGGGAACAGGGTAGAATTAGGGGTGGTCGAGATTATAAAGTAAAAATATTCATATAAAGAATTTCAACAATTTAGCTATTACAAAAATAAATAATATCTTTATAAAACCTTTCCAATCATAATTTTTTTACTTTTGAATAAGTAATTTTATAATAAATATCAAATATATAGCATTCAAGATATTTTGGGATTTTAGTTGTAATGTTTCACAAAATTTGTTATTAATTTTCATAATTTCTTTCATTGAATATAAAATAAAACTAAAATCAAATGGCATCAATACTTTATGAGTATATAAATATAACATCACTTTAATAAGAATAAATAAATAGTGTGGCAAATATATTTTAAAGAATTGAAATAATTGCACTATATATATGCATAAAAGACTACATATAAAATTAAAATAAAAATATTATTTGATGTCTCCAGACCATTATAATATGCTAACTTAGCCCATTATTGCCTCAATCTCATCATTTTTAACCAAATAAATTATTGACAATTTGGAATGCAAAAATATAGTGTGTCTCATCATTGTACTTAAAAGAAGAACACATAATATTGATAATCATATTCAAGTTTTGAAAAAAAAAAAAAGCATCAACTACTTATTTTGTTGCAGCAATAAGAGTTATATATAATTGATAAGCTAAACAATATACATTATATTTTAAAGGATTAAATATATATAACTTCTTAATTCTATTTAGAAAAATTTAAAATCTTTGGGGGATGTCCCTTTCCAACTGAACGCTTTTGCTTTCATGAAGAAGTGAAACTACAACCAACTACATAATTTTCATGGGGAGCACTTTTTGACCAATTATTTGGCAGTTATTTATGCAATGAAAGGAACCTTGTTCATCCACAAAGAACGAGAACGTTAATTTTAGGTATTGTTGCGGGATACAAAAGGACGTCATTTAATTTGGGATAATAAATTTGACAATTAACTGATTAAGCAAGACTTTGACCCTTGGTCGTTGCCTCGTTGGCGTGTTTTCGGCTCTTTGCCCACTAGGCCACACATGCAAGCCCCCCAAACTCTTGCTCATTTGATTTGCCGGCGTTCGAGATAAAGGAGACTTCGTTTTAGGCTTTTAGCCAGGCAGCTCATTTTATCGAGTTTTAATTTTATTTATTATTATTATTTTTTAGAATTGTG